ATAAAATTTCAAGAGAAATAAACCCAAATTTGGAATTTCATAGAAACTCATGAACTCTCAACTCTCCTCCTTCTCACCCCTCTCTCTCTCCGCTCTGCCTCCAAATTTTTTTGCTCACTCTCACTTCCCGCTCTCTCTTCCCCCCATCTTCTTCTTCTCTTGTTCTATCTACCTCTCACTCACTCGCTGAGCTTTTTCTCGTCGGCAAGATTTCTAGGGTTTTTGAAACCTTTGCGTAATTACATATTCGATCTTCGTTCCCTAGAAATTTACTCGAGCGCCCTGCTTGTTCGTTTTCGTCATTTCTGAGCTTAATTTTGGCTGTTTGGTTCTCAAGCTCTGGACTTGGGGTAAGACATTGACTTGATCTGTATTTTTTAAGGCGATAGTACTTGTGGTTCTTCACATTTTATGTTTACTTATATATGTTTGGATTTGTGTTGTTTTTATTATGCATTTGTAAGGATGTGGTTGTTTCTAAGAGTATGTTTGGTAGCTGAAAAGAAAGATGGAGGAAAGAAGAAGAAAATTCAGTGGTCAAGTCCTTTTGGTTTGGTTTTTTATTTTAAAGCAGGCTGCAGTATAAGCTTATCTGAATTTTGAAAAATGATAGATGGTTCAAGGAAGGAAAGACATCCAGGGGTTATTAGATCATTTACCCCGTATACAAATATGGAAAGAGATTCCTATAATGGAGGAAGGGCCTAACGGCCATGAGTTAATTGCGTGATACTCCCCTGAAACTAGAAGGCGGACCTCGACGGACAAGTTTGTCAGAGAGCCGAAGATGACGACCTTTGTGAAGACCTTTTGTGAGGAGGTCAGCAACTTGATTAGTGGAAGGAACAAATTGAACACGATGACTACCAATGGCAACTTTCTCACGAACAAAATGGTAATCCAATTCAATATGCCGGGTGCGAGCGTGATGAATTGGATTCGCAGCAAGATAGGTGGTACTGATTTTGTCACAGTAGAGGAGAGTAGGAAATGTAATCAGGCAACCAAGCTTATGGAGAACACAACTAACCTAGAGGATTTCGGCATATGCATGAGGTAAAGAACAGTACTTGGATTTAGCACTGGAGCGAGCAACATATGGTTGCTTCTTGGAACACCAAGAGATGAGTGTGGTACCCAAAACGATTAGATAACTGGAAGTAGAGTGAAGGGTATCAGAGGAGCTAGCCTAGTCAGCAGCAGAGTAGGCATGAATAGTCAGTGATGAAGGAGAGGGACGGATATGCCAACCAGTAGGGAGACCCCCACCCAGGTTTAAAAGTACGTAGTAAAATATAATTCTTAAATATAGCCCAGGCATGGTTTATCTTAAAACCAAAATCATAATGCACAACAACATAAAAGAAATATTTCGCTTACTTCCCATTAAATCGGGATGTTAAGATAAAACGTGGATGCTCATACAACTTTTTAAAACCAAGTTTTCATATATCCAGTAACATTCTTTAGATTACCAATCCTCGTATGCCAACTAACCATTCCACAAATTTATCCAACTCAGGTGGCACAATAGCGAGAGTGTCTATTTCATGGCTATACCTCATTGAACTAGCCTCACAGCAGCACGGACTGCAGCACTAGTCGGTCCATATAACTCCTGGCCAAGTTTAGTGGATCAAATCCTAGGGGTGGGAGTGGTCCGGTTTGGTTCAATTTCCACCTCAAATCGAAACCGGAACTGATACTATTTAACCGGTCTGATTTGGTCCAATTTTAGTAAAAAAAAATTATAAAACTAACAGGTTCGGTTTGAACCGATTTTGGTCCAATCCAGCTTGAACTAGATTATTATTATTATTATTATTTCAATTTTATTTTTTTGGGCTTGAAAATGAACAAATGATCAAATTTCATACAAAGAGAGATATTGGGCCTACAAAAGAGAGATGTTTTGAAGTTGGGCTTGGGTAAATGTTAGATATGAGACAAAAAATGTACCATTGGATTTAAATAATTTTGTAAAAAAATTAAAATAATATACAACCAATCCAGTCCGATTTGGTAAGGAGTGAAACCGGAAGCGGAATCGGTTGGAACTTGTTTGGTTCGATTCAGTGCCAGTTTGTTGACTTTTTAGTGAAACAATTTTTTTTTTTCAGTTTTTTCCATTCAATGCAGCTTGGTGTTCTGGTTTTCCAGTCCCGATGCGCACCCTTATCGAATCCCAAGGTGGTCGCTATGCCCTCTTCACTCTCAGGTCATCTCGGAACACCGTCAATGAAGCCGATGCCCAAAGTATGATTAAATCCATACAATAGATATACCAACCAAAAGCAATTGTGAAGTTCTCATGCAATCATATTTATCATTTCATACATAAAGTGAAATATAAGTCTGGTTTAGTGGTCCCTCTACCCAAAGTCCAATGATGATGCTTGGTCCCACACACTTTATTTGCCAAAACTGGTTCACACCAGGTCACGTACATGTTCGACTAACTCGAGCTCCTAATCGTGCCACAACCAATGTGTTAAACCAAGTTAGAAATAAGCTCTTAACGTGCTAGGGTTGGGTCGGGTCATGTTTTATGAACCCTAGGTCGAAGTATAAACCCCAGTTCGGAGCCCTACGTAGTTGTCGGAAACTTAACCTTAAGGGCTCGTTTGGTACACAGGATTGGCTTGGACTGGCTTGGACTAAATTTAGTACCATGTTTGTTTTATCTAATCCTAGTCTTAGATGGGATTGCTAATACCGGGCCCACCAAAAACACCTCCTTAGGAGGGGACTACTAATCTCATGTGGAAGGGGAGGATTAGCTAGTCCCAATTCTCACCAATGTATAAAATGCATATATTATATTGTAAAATTAATAACATATATTATTATTATTAAACTTACTTACACATATACTATAATGTACATATATACATGTATATACACATAAATATATCATATATCTATATATATAAAGCAAAAGGCAGAGAATGGTGAAACATTCAAAAACCCCGAATATGCCCTTGGTTAAACAAAAAATTAAAAGCATACAATTTTAATTAAAAGAGGGTGAAATTGTAAAACACCACTGATTTTAAAAAAGAAAAATGAAAAGAAAAATGGAGTCGTGCTGTTCAAAATAGAGTCGTGCTGTGCTGTGCTTGACTCAAAGAAGAAGAGCTGATGAACGTGGAGAAAAATTCCTCAGGTTCAGAACCCACGAAGCTGGCGGTTTCCCCAATTTCAGAACCCATCACCACCATGTTACTTATATTTTCTTCCTCCACTTTACTACTTCTCTTTTCTGCTTCAGAAATCCAAATCGAGAGTAACCACCCAGGAACACCCAGTGTAAAGACTGGTCACACCCAAAAACCCTGCTTTCTCATTCCGCACCACACCTGCTACCCTGTAACTGAAGGTAAAACATCAGTTTTTTTGTATTAATGCATGTATATTTCAGATTTTTCATTCAAGTTGTGGGTTCCATCAAATTTTGTATGTTTCAGGAGAGGTTATACACCATCCACCAATAGAGAAAGCACCAGCTAGCCCAAGGCTTATAATTCATGGTCACCAACTCTTGAAGCAGTGAGTTTCAAATCTTCTGCTTCTTTAAATATTGTGGGTTTGCATTAGGATTTCAGTTACTTGATGTGGATTTCCCTGTTCTATTTTCTTCTAAATTTTTAATTCTTGATGTGGGTTTCTGTTACAGGAGCTGTTCTCAACCGCGTCTGTTCTTCTTGCGGGAAACCATGCCGATCCAAAATCGTTAGTCCCTGCTCTTTCTTTCTCTCTTACCATAAAAATATGATAACATAATGTGGAAAATTGATCTAGAAAGTTGGGACAAAGTAAAATTAGGTGAACACAACCCCCAACATTCAGTAATAAAATCGAATGTTCTCAGCTGATGCCTCTCTTTCTCATTGTATTGCTGGGTTGTTGATTCATATTGAAAATTTTGGTCTCTTGAAATTCAATTGTTTTTGTCTTTACTCTGAATTTCCTCATCTGGGTCAGTAGGATTTCAGTTTAATTTTCATATACATTAGTTGGAATTCAGTATCTTTGTTTCTTAGTAAAATTTGAAACTTTTGGTTGTTCTGTTTTCCATTATTCTCAACTAGACTGAACTTAATGACCAGCAATTTTTTCTTAATTTGTCAAAGGTACTTAGGTGTATCCCAGATGGGATTCCTTATTAGATTTTCTTTTCTGGGTTGTTGATTCAAATTTAGTTTCATGTGGATTCATTACCATGACATGCACCAATGAAGAAAGCATTTAGGTTTGATCTGTGTACTATCTCTAATTTTTGGATCCTAATGGAATTTCTTTGATTATATATGTTGTTTCTCCAGAGCACCAATGAAGAAAGCATTTACATTTGATGGGTTTGATGTCAATGGTATGAATTTCTCTCTCTCATTTTGGTTTTGTTTTTGGTTCACCAAATGGCTTATATCAATTCTGATTTTCTGATTTTTAAATTATTTTTTGGGGATTAATGGAGATGATGTGGCTCATAGAATCAAAGCACGATAGGTAAAATGGAGGGTTTTGTTAAGTATATATATAGTATGCTCATCATATGTTGCTGGAATTGAAAGCTAAGTTTATAGAACATCTGTTAGACCAGCCATGCTATATGGGACTGAATGCTGGACAGTTAGAAAACAGACATATTCATAGTTCCTGTAAGTTTCATGCTTCATGATTTGTAATGTTAGAATTCTTTTGTAGTTACACTGTTAGAATCCTGAAATTTAAGTATTTGCTTCAAGTTGGTTTGTTGGTTGTATTTTGAGGCTATGCAATTATGTGGTGGTTCTACTTCATTCTAATTACTGTTTATTTTATTTTTTTCAGTAAGAAAACAATCAGAGTTAGGCAGTCATCCAATTGCTTCAGGTATGACTTATGAAAATTAAAAAGTTTTTCAAATCCACATGTCTTATTGAAACTTTGGAATTTTATCTCAACAGATTTAACCGTCTCTCACCTCTCTGACGTATAAGCAATCACTGAAACAAAGAAGCAAAGATAACTTTCAGGTTAATGTTTCTTCATTTTGTTTTATTGACATTTTTTTTCTTCTTTTGGGTTCCCTCAAAATTCCTTCACAAAATTCAACTTGGCTCTACGTGTTTTCTGCTCTCTTTCTTTCTGTTTTTTTTTACCCTGATTTAATCTCAGGCTTCCATGAAATTTTGATTGTTTCAGGAGAGCTTGGGTACGAAATACAAATACGAGAAGCGGTCGTTTGCCCAAATTGTCTAACCATTCGTCGCTTTAAAGGTATAATTCATGATTGCCTCTCTATTCCTTATTCTCTTTCTATTTTTTTTTTTATACTGATTTCTTTGTTTTTGTAATGTTTGTTTGCTCATCATTTCTGCATTTTCTTATTTTGGTTAAATTGGGAAATTTGTTATATACCTTGGCGGTTGTTTATACCTTTTGCTTGACTTACAAGCTGTTTTTAGATTGTTTTGTTTATCTGATTAGCCATGTAACTTAGGGCTGTTGGTTTTCATGCAAATTTACTGAACAAATGGGCCTAAGTTTTCGTATAAAACGAAGGACAAATATAAGAAAGCAATGCAAACTAATATAAGAAGGCATTCAAGTTAAAAACTTCATTTAGCAAATGGTTTTATATCATTTTGTAAAATGAGTCTTTTAGGATTTCGATTTATACTGTCTGACAAACTTTGCTTCTTTACTGCTCTGCCTACTCTTTTCAACTCATTCAATTGGTTTCAATTTGATTGATTTTAAACCTACATTTCTCAACCAGTTGTCTTCACCACCCAAATAAAAATGTCCAATTGGTTACATGTTTTAATTTTGGGTTTTGTTTTCATTTGTTTTCTTTTGTTTCTGCTGAATTGAAATTACCCCCATTTTGATGTTGCTCCTAATCTCATGTTGCAGGATTCTCTTCCAACGATCTATCCATTGCTAGGTATGGGTGTACGCCCACATTCACCTACCTTTACATTACTTTCTTCGTTTGCTAATTATACTTTTTTACCTAATAAAGCAACAAGCAGCTCAAAGAAGAACAATGAAAACATTGAACAGAGAAAATCATTTTGCTTGCTCCTTTGTATTTGATTATTATTGTACAAACCAAAACAATGAAGACTACAACCTCGACATGCTCAAGGTTGAACTTTGCAATATATGTATTATATTTTGTAATTAATTAATCATTTGTATTAATAACCAATCTTTTGTATTAATAATCGACAATCTTTTGTATTAATAATTGATGTACCCTTATTTGATTTATATAAGAAGTTCATTTTCAACGTATGAGTTAATGCCTTAATTTCAATTTTTATGTAAAGGTTTAAAAAAGATATACAACCATTTTTTTGGGGAAATGTTTATATAGCCATTTTGAAGATATTTTGGCATGTGAAAAATAAATTTGTTGTAACATAAATCAAATATTAATGCATTGTCGTTATGTAAGGAGATGTGTAAAATGTTAGTGCATAAATTCCGAATCTATTTAAAGATAAGCTGTACAAATTTAAGAAATTTAAGTCTTTTCTGTAAGTATCTTACGCCACAAGAGGCTACATGGAATTAAAAAAATGCTAGATTGACAATTATTACATACAAGTAACGAGTTCGAATTAATAAAAAAAACATTAACTAAATTCACAACGGTATTTGTACTCATTCAAATATTTGGAAATTATTATATAATAACTAAAATCAAATACATGGGCAATTATTATACAATTTTGCTTTATATATATAGATAATTAAATTAATGTTAATTGCCTAATACTAATAAATATTGTAGTTATTAATGGAGCATGCACACAACCGTACAAGAGAATGGCGACAATCAATGAGTTCTTCGCAACGTCGACATTATCTAGCTCGCCGGCGTGCAATAGCTCAAGGAAAGCGACCGATAATGAACAATGTACGTGATTGTCACACTGAAGGAGGCCCCAGTAATATAGAAGAGCGACATCCAGGTATTTCATGCATTAACAGTTTATGCTTGACTTGACAATTTGCCAAAAAGTTTTTTGTTGGATTCATTAAATTAATATTTGTACGCTTAGTGTATTTTCAATGTTAATTTTACAGTATCTAATTATAGACAAGTAGTGAATATAATTAATACAAATATTGACAATTTACACTCATAAAACTTAAATTCAATACATTTAATAGAACAAGTTCAACACGAAGGTACGAGTTCAACGGTTGCTTCGCATATCAACAATCCTGGTGAACAATCTACTAGAATGCGTTTAACACATATAAGACAGTTGGCACGTTCAGATAGGCCGCAACTTCCTGATGGTCTTCAATTAATTTCTGCTTCCCATGGTGAGCTTAGTAGATACCTATTTTAAACACATTAGTACTACACAATTTTAAGTTTATAACTAAAATCTTATACTAAAAAACCAATATTGATTAATACAAAACAGAAGCGGCTGAGGATACATTACATCATCGTGAAGCCCAACACAACAATGTCATGCATGATGTGCAACATATAAGGAGAGCGATGAGAAACAACAATTGTGCCAGAAATTATAATGAGAACATGGGTGTCCTAGGATGTCAATTACCAACTTCCACCACATGTTCGAGGTGCAATGCGCGATTATTCTCCCGAGAGACATTTAGTATGTGTTGCTTTGGTGGAAAAATTGTTCTACCTCATATACAATCTCCACCAGAAATGCTGGCTCTTTTCTCTGACCAAACAACTGAGGGCAGACTCTTCAGACAAAACATTCGTGACTACAACAATGTTTTTTCATTCACTTCAATGGGTGTATATGTTGATGAAAGAATAAATTTTGGTGGACGTGGAATTTATACCTTTCGTGCACAAGGTGCAATATATCATAAGATTGGTGGACTTTTACCCAATGATGGTACTACACCACGATTTCTACAGGCTTACATATACGACACCGAGCATGAAGTTGAAAACAGAATGACTCAAAGTGAAGTTTTAGATAGAATTGTGGTTGAGAAGATACAACGAATTTTGAATCAACACAATCCTTTTGTGCATACATTAAGAAGTCTCGGACAGCTCCAAGATTTGCCAAGGTGCAGGCTCATTATAAAAGAGCAACCTTCTGATCGACGTCAATACAATTTACCATCGGCATCACAAGTTGCTGCAATTATAGTAGGAGGGGATGATATGGTGAATCGAAATGGAAGAGATATTATTGTTGAGACAATTAGTGGAAGACTTTGGAACGTCCAAGATTGTGTTGGATTCTATGACCCACTACAATATCCATTATTGTTACCGTACGGAACATATGGGTGGGATATTAATACTCATGATGATAACGGAAGAGGTGTATCATGTTGCGACTATTATGCTTACATGTTACAGGTTTGTACTCGAAATATAATTCCTTTTCCAACTAAACATTGAAATATTACATCCAAATGACCGGCTAAAGATTGATTTGCAGATACGTGAGGGTGGATCATCACTTTTGCTTCGAGGGGGTCGTCTCTTACAACAATATATTGTAGATAATTACGTAAAAATTGAATCTCAGAAACTTAGATGGATGCGTTCAAATCAAGAAAAAATACGAGCTGAGCTTTACCAAGGACTCCAAGACTTTTTAAATAGAGGGGTGAATAATGCAGGTACATATTTAATATCAATTATTTTTTTTAAATATAAATATACTGTTCCAGGTTTGTGTAAAACATTTATTAAGTGGAAAATGACAATGGATCAGGTAACATCGGTTGTAGAACCATTCTGCCATCATCCTTTGTTGGAAGCCCCCGTGACATGTACCAACGGTATCAAGATGCGATGACTTTGGTTCAAAGATTTGGCAGGCCAGATCTATTTATTACCATGACATGCAACCCAAATTGGGAAGAAATTAAGAGAGAATTACTCCCTGGAAAAACGCCACAAGATCGTCCCGACTTGCTCACTAGAGTATTTCGTGCAAAATTGGAGGAACTAAAAGAAGACATCAATGGGAAAGGGGTATTAGGTACTGTTGTTGCTTATGCATACGTTATTGAGTTTCAAAAACGGGGTCTTCCACATGTGCATATGTTGGTTGTGTTAGATGAAGATGATAAGCTCAATAACCTTGATGATTATGACCAAATTGTTAAAGCTGAAATACCAAACGAACATGAAGAGCCTCAACTTTACAATGTGGTATTAAAACATATGATTCACGGTCCATGTGGAATTCAAAATCCAAAATCTCCCTGTATGAAAAATGGAAAGTGTAAAAGAAATTACCCTAAATCATTTGCTGCATCCACTATTCAAGGGAATGATTCATATCCAATTTATCGAAGGCGAGGAAATCGCATGCCTGTCCCACTTGATCGACGAGGAAATATAACGGTTGATAATAGTTGGGTTATTCCATATAATCCCATGACTGCCACATTAATGTTGAAATATGTGCAAGCATAAAAAGCGTCAAATATTTATATAAGTATGTTTACAAAGGTCCAGACAGAGTGGCACTCGAGGTTCAACCAGATCCAGTTTGTGATGAAATACGACAGTTTGTTGATGCAAGATGGGTTTGTGCACCAGAGGCGTTGTGGAGGATATTCAAGTTTGTAATCAATCGGATATACCCAACTGTGGAGCGCTTACAAATACATCTTCCTAATATGCATCAAGTTCGATTTCAATCTGACCAGACTATTGCAAATATTCTGATAGACGAGAGACTTAACAAGACAATGCTCACTGAATTTTTCACTTTGAATCGTAATGATGCAGAAGCAAGGAGATATTTGTACAGGGAGATCCCTGAGCATTATAGATGGATTCGTTCTGAAAGACTTTGGTCTAAAAGAAAGAATCGTCTCAGGGTTATTGGGCGAATATATACAGTCTCACCAGCTGAAGGTGAGAAATTTTACCTACGCGTACTTTTGAATCATATCAGAGGAGCCACATCATTTCTAAATTTAATGACAGTTGGTGGCGTTTTGCAACCAACGTTTAAGGAGGCAGTAGAACAACAAGGTTTGTTAGAAGGAGACGATAGTATTCGACAATGTTTGTTTGAGGCCTCTACAATTCGGATGCCATCGGCCTTAAGAAGATTATTTGTCACCATTTTGGTATATTGTGAACCAGTTGGTGTCCGAGCATTGTGGGATGAATTCTATCCATGCATGATTGAAGATTATGCTTTCTCGAGTAACTTAAGTTGCAATGTTGTTGTGAACAGACTTTTACGTGACTTAAACACACTTCTGGTACAGTTTAACAAGAATATCAAGGACTTTGATTTGCCCCAAATGACAACAGAAGTAGTTTCTGCAATGCCTAGATGTATTGAAGACGAACTCTCACACGGTATTTCACAAGAAGATCTTCTTGCAATTGAACGTCTTAATGATGACCAAAAGTCTGCATTTAACATAATAATGGACACAATTGAACGATGTCAGAATTCAATTTTTTTTGTGGATGGTCCAGGTGGAACTGGAAAAACTTACTTATACCGTGCATTGTTAGCAAACATGAGAAGGTTGGGCCATATAGTATTAGCAACAGCAACATCTGGATTAGCAGCTACAATATTACCTGGTGGGAGAACGGCACATTCTAGATTCAAGATACCACTTAGCCCAGATTCATCATCTACATGTTCAATCAGTAAACAATCTGATTTGGCAAAGTTAATACAAAAGGCAAAGGCAATTATTTGGGATGAAGCAACGATGGCACATCGTCATGCCTTTGAAGCACTGGATCGAACTTTCAGAGACATAATTGATGTTGACTTACCATTTGGGGGGAAAACAATGATCTTTGGGGGAGATTTTAGACAAGTACTTCCTGTTATTCCTAAAGGAACAAAGTCAGAACTGATCCAGGCCAGTGTGGTGAAAGCATCATTTTGGTCACAAGTAAAGATTTTGAAACTTAGACAAAACATGAGATCCAGGAATGATCAACAATTTTCACAATTTTTACTTCGTGTTGGTGATGGGGAAGAACCTATTGTTGGAGATGGTATGATAAGAGTACCTGAATGCATGGTAATACCATGGGAGAATGAGTTATCCATCAATGAATTTATTTATCAAGTTTTCCCTAATTTGGAGGATCATATAAATGATGCAAGTTACATGGTGGAAAGGGCAGTGATAACTCCTACAAAGGAAGATGTTGACATGTTGAATGAAAAGATGATGAATATGTTTCCAGGCGAAGAAGAGACAATGTATTCGTTTGATTCAGTTGAGGATGACACGAGGAATGTGTATCAGCCGGAATTCTTGAACTCAATTTACATTGGTGGGTTGCCACCACATAAGTTAACTTTGAAGAGAGGTGCTCCAATCATGCTTCTCAGAAATATTGACCCAAAATTGGGATTGTGCAATGGAACAAGATTATTATGTCGTGGGTCGTACCAAAATCTCATTGATGCTGAAATTCTAATTGGACAATCTATTGGGACCAGGGTTTTTCTACCACGTATCCCTCTAAAGACAACTGAGACTGCTGGGCTACCATTTGAACTAACAAGAAAACAATTTCCAGTGAAGTTGAGTTTTGCTCTCACTATAAATAAATCTCAAGGTCAAACAATACCACATGTGGGTATTTTTCTTCCAGATCACGTTTTCAGTCATGGGCAATTATATGTGGGTTTATCGAGGGGTGTTTCGAAGTTGACTACAAAAGTGTTAGTGAAAAAAGGGTCAATAACCGGTCAAGAAGGCGTTTTCACTCGGAATGTGGTGTACAAAGAAGTCCTACTTCATTCGAACTAATGATGGCGATTAAAAATAAGTAAGCATAATTTTAATCATGAATACCTTTTCAAATAACCACAACATGTTTTTATCATTTATTGTTGTAACTGTTTGTTTGTTGTTACTTGACTCAAAGAGTTACATTAGTTACATATATACCTATTTTGTCTAAGAGTTAGACAATGCACATAATGCCCTTCTTTTTTAGAACCTCAAGATAAATGTGATGTTTTGTACATGGTTTGGTTATTAAATTTATTTAATTTTAATTTTTCATGTTACATCAATCATTTTGTATTCCAATATTGATAGGAAAAGTGGAGCGTCATGGGCTTACAAATAGAGTTCATGTTGGTTTGGTTCAGCGTGTTAATACAACAAATGATTATAACAAGGTAAACTTTTATTACTTTTCAGCAAGTACAACATTAAAAGTTATGTTTCTGCAATTTATTTAAATCCATATTTAAGAGTATGTAACCTTCCTATTGCTTATGGTTGTACATGAAAATAGTGTATTTGACAAAATCTCATACCAGGATGCAGAGTGTAATAGGCATGTTTCAGTTGTCTCTTCGGGTTGGAGTTATTCGATTACAATGAACAACAGTGATCTTAGTCTTCTAATTTTGAAAGAATGGAAAAAAAAAAGAAAACAGAGCAGTAAGTATTGTTTTATTGGAGAAATATTTACTTTACCTACCTATAAGTTAATGATGACAAGTTTCCAAATATAGGTGGCATAAAAATGGTGCACTTGAGCAGCTTAGACATGCAAATGTTTGTCATATCATTTGGACCTACAAAACAGTTTGTCGGATTAGGTATTGTTTTTATTTCAAATTAGAAAGAAAAAAAATTCATAACCTTGATGATGATACTCTAATCACTACTACAAAAATTGCAATAGACGACGGTAATCCACCGTCGTGTATTCCGTTTTTCAACCGTCGTGAAATCCACCGACATCTTTTGATGCATAAAACCACGACGGTAAATCCCCGTCGTCTATTATTTGTAAAGACGACGGTTTTGAGAAAAACCGTCGTCTATTTCATATAATAGACGACGGTTCTTTAATCAAAACCGTCGTCTTTACACCTAATAGACGACAGTTTTTTCTCAAAACCGTCGTCTATTATATGTAATAGACGACGGTTTTGAGAAAAAACCGTCGTCTATTAGGTGTAAAAACGACGGGTTTGAGAAAAACCGTCGTCTATTAGGTGTAAAGACGACGGGTTTTTTTTTAAAAGAATTGTGTTTTATTATATCCAAAGACGTCGGTTTTGTTAAAAAAGCATCGTTGATTGTATATAAAGAAGACGGTATGGTGTTACATTTTTAGTTATTTTTAGTTTTTTGTTTCCTATGATTCTATACAACAATTTTAACTAGAATACCAATTATAATGCTGTATTAATAAATACATACACTCAAAAATTATTTCTTTCATAAAACTTGATGATTCAATAGTTATTACATAGTCAACCAATTTTTGTTCCATTACATACATACTTCCTACCTATAATTAGAAATAATGGAGCTCACAAATTCTGCTAATTTGATTTTAACTTCATCAATTTGTTCTTCAGTGTATGAGTTGGCTTTGCCTTCGTGCACATTTTCCAAGCTGCTTTATTCCCCTCCCAGCAATATCAGCAACAGGTTATGTGCATATCTGAAATCATAGTTGCAGATGATTCTGAATTAACAAAGAGGAAAACCATTTTCTTTTATAACTTTTGTTTTGAAATATATAACAAAATGCAAACCATTGATGACAACAGTTACAAATTGGGCTAACACTATTTCACAATGAAGCAACAGTAACCTGTTCAGATATTTCATCAATAACCTTCTTGTCACCAGCACCATCAAGAATTACAGTGTCATCTTTTGAATTTGTGACCTGTAGTATTACCCCATTCGTTAGGAGAGTGGAAGAAAAACAAGATATGGAAAAATATCATTAAATCGAATGGGAAACTCCATTAAAAATTCTCCTCATCAAAGAACTACATGTCATGGTTAGACTGACAACAACGCAAACAAAACCTCAAGTATATCAAAGCTCACCTTTTTCCAAGTGCCGAGCATATTCAATTCCACTTTGTCAAGATTCAACCAAGCTCCTCTCCTCAGTAATAATCTAAAATACAAAAGAGATGTCATTTCCAGGTCGAGAAAATTCAAAAGAGATGCATTTGATTAGGTCAGGTAATAATAATACAAAGCTAATAATAAGAAAAATAAACGTACAGAACCCCCAGTGAGAACGGCAAGATCCTGGAGACTGGATTTCCTATTTTCACCAAAACCAGGGGCTTTGATTGCACAGACCTGTAGCAAATCACATTAGATTAGCAAAAGCTGACTTCCCTACACAAAGAACCAAACGATTACATAGGAAAGAAAAAAAAAACCTCAAACAAGAGCATAAAAACAACTGAAAGCAAACCTTGATTCTAGCACGAAGCTTATTTAGAATAAGGTCACTCTCCACATATGCAGCGACAATCAGCAAAGGCCTTTGCTTCTGAAAAGGAGGAGCAAAAGTTTGTCAACCAATTGAAAAAAGAAAAAAAAAAAACTAGTGAACCTAACCAGAGAAATGCTAACCTGCAAAGCCAACTCCAATACTTTAACCACGACATTAATACTTGAGATTTTCTTCTCATGGATTATGATTAGAGGATTTTCCAATTCCTATCAGCACATACAGTTGTTTGAAGATAATCAGCATCAAGCAAAAAGGGACTTGAGGTGCTGCTAACTTTAACAAGCAGCCCTCTAACAGTTTCAAGATATAGTTATCGCTGAGTCAAACTAAAACTTACACATTTCTGATTTTTCTGGTTGGTGATGAAATAAGGGGATATGTAGCCCTGTCTAGCTTCATTTGGGAATAAAAAAACTAAAATAAAATTAGTTGGAGTAGTGCTACTTCCATTTCTCTATGCATATTTTACTATTATGACTCAAATCTCGACATGAATAACATAAGATGCAAGCACCACCCACACTTCTGCATATTAACTCAAGCTAAGCATGACTTAGACCATATAAACAGCACCAACAAAAGTTAACTTACCATATTGAAACTGCCAATCGAGATAAGTTATGCTCCCCTTTTTTAAATCCCTTTGTCTCAGTTTTCACAGCATCCAAATAGAAACTCAAATCGACACAATCACAAGCAAAATCTGTTCTCCATAGACGCTTTGTTTCCAAGCTTCAATCAAATGGATTTCTCTGATTCAGAATCTCATAAACAATGGAGGAACAAACACAAATTCACACATATATAAATCCCTAAAACAGAAAGAAAAAAATTTAAAAAAAAATCAGAAAAGTTGCCTTAATTTCTATACAAATCGAAAATATTTACAAAAAATATAACAATTTGCCCAGATAATTTACAATTAAACACCCAAATATTTTAACCCTAAATCATATTAGAGATATAGAAATTTATTCTTCAAAAATTATAGAAAATAATCCTAAGAGAAGGAGAGTTGTTACCTGGGGAATGGAGGAAGGGAGGCTCTCATGGAGCCAGCCAGCGAGAGAGATGGAGCGAGCCAGCGAAGAGATAGAGTGAGCTAGAGAGAGACAACAAGAAAGATAGCGCCAGCAAGAGAGAGCCATCGAGAGATAGACGACGAGAGAGAGCCGTCGAGAGGAAGATGGAGAGGGAGCCATCAAGAGAGAGACGGAGAGAGGAAGATGGAGAGACAGAGAGCCATCGAGACAGAGAGTCGTTGAGAGAGCCAGAGTGAAGATAGCTAGAGAGTTATCGCGATATTGAAACCAAAATGGCGACCTCAGTGACCTGGAAGGTGAGATCTGTGACCTGGATGGCGAGATTTGTGACCTGGACGGTGAGCTCGTAACCAAGACGGCTTTTCAGAGATGAGAAAGGGAATTGAGAGTGAGTGAGAGAGAGAGAGAGAGAGAGAGCGATTTCTGAAAACGTCGCGAGAGGAGTGTTTGAGAGAGAGAGCTGTCCGTGAAAATTTAAAACTTAAATGAAATTTTGGTCCAGCGCGTTTTAAAGCACGACGGTTATATAAATGAATGGTCGTAATTTTTATCTCCTCCTTTTAAAGCACGACGGTGTTTTTAAAAACAAGACGCTTTTTAGTTTTACGGTCGTCTAATACGGGTCGTGGTTTCCCATAATTGTAGTAGTGCAATCTCCTCCCCAATGGCTTTAATTGTTGAACTCTCTGGCTCTTTTCCCTCTTTGAACGCCATTTTCTTAAATAAAAACCAGGACTGCTCTTCATTCAAGCCCCTTAAGTTATATGGTTCAGCTGTATCTGCTATATTTGCAACGTTTTTACTACGAGTAGTTATTAGAATTCTACTCCCTTCTGCACCACCCATCAACAAGTCTTTCAAGCTAAGCCATTTGTTACGATTCTCATTCCACACATCGTCTAACACAAGGAGGTATCTCTTCCCATCTATTATTTTCCTCAGTTCTTTTTGCAACTGATCCATGTCGAACATGTCAGTTTTTAGGATTTTCTTAACAAGTATATCCAACTGAAATGAATTAGAGACACTTGTCCACATTTTCGGCTCAAAATGCTTTTGAACCTCTTCATCGTTGAATACGAGTTGGGCAAGTGCAGTTTTTCCCATTCCTCCAAATCCCGCAATGGAAATGACAGACACATTCTCTGTATTCTCTGTAGAGATGGGATGCAACATAAGTTGAATAATTGCTCTTTTATCTTCATCTCTCCCTATTATATTATCCTCGCGGACAAATGAGTGGGTGACCCTCTCTCTTATTTCAAATCCTGCATCTTCGTGGTTCACTTGTTCTAATTGAATAAACATTCTGTTGGAGGCAATCACATGCAGCCTCTGGTTGATATTTTTAATCTTATGACCGATTTTCAGCCCAAAAACATGCTGATTTGAGCTAGAGAAGAAGATGCGTACCTGCTTTGACACTTTATTATTTCCGGGCACCATTTGTCTCCACTGAGCTTCAGTATAAAACTCATCGAGCACGTCATCAGCTTCATAAACTGTATCTTCTACGCTTTGGAGCCACTCTTTGACTGCTTCACTGTTGGCTTGCTTTTGCTCAGCATCAAGAAGAACAGCTCGGAGTTGGGAAACTACAAGTTTAAGCTTTTGGAGCTCATCGTTGACACCCAAAACCAATCCAATCTCTTCAAAAGCACGGGAGCCTAACCTTTCAATGATCCCTTGTGCAATGTTGAAGAGGACTCCTTCTGCCATTGGAGAAAGGAAGAGTATTCACTTGGAGAAAAGGAAAAGAGTATTCTTGACGAAAGTTGTGGTTTGTTGATAAGAGTTATTTGGTGAGGAACAGCAAGTGGAGCAAGAGTATTAACAATTGGACAAAGGAAAGAGGAAACATGCTTCAAATCACGTGGGAAAGCTTTGAATATTTGGTGTCGAAAATCTAATGAATTTTAATAACCCCACATCATCATAATTTTATTAAACCAAAAATAACCATTTGCACCTTATCATATCTATCCAGTAACTTTGAAATAAAAAATAAAATATCCCAACACCAGCACCAGCACCAGCACCTTACCCCCTCTCGATCTGTGAGAAATTCCCAATTTCTTCTATAAAGAATTCAACTTTCTATCATTGATCATGGTTTCTTCAAATCAACTCAAAATCCTGCAATCCCCAATTTTGTCCTTGATTCCTACAGTTAGTAGTTGAGTAAGTGTTAAACTAGATGATACAAAACAAATTATGTGACTTGGAAATTTCAAATGGAGATGATGTGCTAGACGAACATGGAATAAGGGGATTTGTTAATGGTTTCTTTTACCGCAAATGTGATTGATGATTATGGGGTTACTGAAGATTCAGATCTCAGTTCCTTGCTGAGGAAGCATCCCTTGAACGAGTCTCTAAACAGATACCTTGCTTGGCTACGCTACAATGTTTGCTAAGAACCAAGATCAGGGTTGCACATGTTCCCCTACTAAATTTTAGGTTCAGATTCTGGTTCTTTTGAATATAATCAAGTTCCTAATTTCTTGCAAATGTTGGCTAAGAATCAAGACCAGAGTTCTCTTGGATCAGGATCTTATGGCTCAAATTATGAATCCTTTGTGGTCTAATTCCTGTCGGCAACAAAGAGGGGTTCTCTTTGATCCGTTATGATATTTCCTGTTTAATACTTGATAAAGCACAAATTTATGTTACGAAAGATGCACATCAGTCTATATGTCTATTTTGTTTAGATGGCAAGTTGTCAAAAATTACCTTTTTCAGTCTATGCTTACATTCTGAATCAGTTCTCTACTTCTATTTAAACATTCCCTCCAGCTTGTGTGATTGTGAGAAATTGAAATTCCTAAGGCTGCATTTTTTTTTTTTGGTCGAAAGGCAAATTCATTGAAAACCCACAAAAGGGCAAGGAACACAACCAAAGGGCCAAGCAAGGAGCACCCGCAAAAGACAAACGCAACAACACCAAAACAGGACCAGATCTAACTAAAACCCAGGCATAGGCATAGCATGAAGATCATGATCCCGCCGGAAACAAAATTAAGCTGGCAAAAAGCATTTGGATGAAAGTATTTGAGATGGAGATTGATTTGAGAAATAAAGGGTTGAGTAAAAAATTTCAAACACGAACAAACAAACATTTACACACAAATCAAACAACACAGTTTTACGTGGTTCACTAATAATTGAGCTACGTCCACGAGGTTGCTTGGGTTTTTCACTAATTGAATAAGAAGATTACAAGTACATTGCTCGACAAAATAAAACAAAAAATGAATTTAAAAACATGAAATCAGAACAGAGGAACGTTGCTCGACACTGCAACACAAGATACCACACTTGGGATAATGAAGCTCTCTCAACTGCTGAAGTGCCCCACAAGACTTGAGCACACTTCGAACCACTCTTCCGGCACTCTTGCAATTTTCCAGTACTCTTACAACGTCCCTGTTCCACAAAAGCTATTTTCAACTGAATAGAACTAGAACGAAGTTTATAATGCACGCAAACCAAACACAAGGATATAATATGTGAAACAAACACATGCACATCATATAGAATGGAACATTATCTATCTGTTTGTGTATATAACCAAGCCTAAATGTAGTAGCTCAAGGGTCGAGTCAATCTTATGATCAATACCCAGTTGCATTAACAGGGAACATACATTTGAATGATGGCTATTGGAGGACTGTTCTCTAGGCCACAACTTTTGAAATTTTTTCCATGCCTTCAAGTGGAGGTGGGGATGGGGTCGGCATCATTATGCGACAATGATCTGACCAATGTCATTATTTGACAATGACCTCTTGTAGATGTAACTGTGCGGGAATAACATCCAATCGATGTCCTGGGCTATTTGAAATTTGAATTTAAAATCCAATTTGAATAAATTGGCTTTATCTTCACATTCATAACTGGAGCAAATCTTGCATAATCTTGCATCATGCCTTCGCAAAATTTTGGGGCTTTTGAATACTCTGGAAGCTGATGCGTTCTTCACTGCAATAAGATTCCGAAACTTCAAATTTTTAAATTTTTTATTTTTTATTTTTTTGTGAATAACAGTCTGTTTTTCTTATTGTGATGTTCTTGTTTGTGAATTGAAAATGGATACAGTGTGAAAACAGAATAATTTCCAGGACTGTTCTCTGGGACATAAACTTTGAAAACTTTTTTGTGTCCACACACACATGGGGATGGGGACGGGGTCGTCATAGCTTCTGAGAAATTGTCGGTTGGTGTACCAAATATCTCATTGGCGTTCTATTCTTCATTGGTTTTTTTTTTTTTTTTTTGTCTTTTCTTGCGTTAGAATTCTTGTGAAAATTCATTGGGTTTGACATTCAGCACCAGAAGAAAGCCAGAAACTCTTTCATACAATGAGAGCAGCAAACCACCAACTTTTCATGATAAACAGTAGCAGGAAAACAAAAGAAATTGGATAATACAACTTTTTTGTTTTCAGGTTCGTGTTCCGCAGAAGCTACATTCAACTTGAAAAATGAAATTACGAAAAATAAATCATGATACAACTTTTTTGGTTAGATGCACAATCGTGCTTTCATGAATCTCTTACATCATTCATTGGCAGTAAGACTTGCAGAGAGATTTGGCTTAGTCTGCTAGAAACATCCAAAATGGGACAGATTCAATACAAGTGGCCAATGTAGAGCTGTTTATGCCACATTTTGGACATGGGCGAAAAATGGTCTATTTCTTAAAATACTATATTTTTATGGCCCTGGCCCAGGCCCAGCATTCTTTTTCTGTTCTTGAAAGCCGAAGGACCCTTTTTTTCTTAGAGGGCCATCAATATATAAAAGAAATTAATGAAAGCCCATAAAGACATAAAGCCCAAATTTTTGAGTCCCACTAAAGTTAAAAAGATCGGTAACCGTTACACATTGACTCACGTGAGGGACTGAAAGAGATTGTCACCATTAATGACGACATGACTATTCTTCGCGTCCAGCAAGGAAACAAGCTGTACAAAAGCCACCATTGCCAGAAAGAGCCGAATTGCTAACCAGACTTTCGAATACAAAGGATTCAAGCCAGGGGATTATCACAAAAGACCAGTGGTTTTTATCAGAAACATCCCATCATCCTGACTATAGACCAGTCCAGATCAACAAATCAGCAACTAACTCTGGACAGCATCCACATACCCTCTCTTCAGCCTTCATCATTGAAGCTCTCCTTACCTATAAATAAAGAGCCTCCGCCACAGAAGAAAAGGACTCTCTAAAAACTAGACGCAACGTCTCGAGAACACTTGAAAAACTCAAGATCTTTTCAAATCAGCTTACATAATTTCCAGATAACCAGTTAACAACTCCTGCATTCATCTTTTGTTGCTCTGCCATCATCATGGTATGGTTTTTTTTTTAATGATCAGTTTGAATTCATGTATCTATTTGACTTGATAGAGAAATCTCCAGTCATTTAATCGCTTTATATATATATATTATAAATTGTTCGGTAGATTAATTTAATTTCCCGCTTGCGCACTCTTAAATTTATCATTTGGATCCGAAAGGAAGGGTCTAGGCCCGAATAGGGCTATATTAGTCCGGAAATAGAAGGTTGATTGGGCCCAAATTGACTATTGGCCCAGTTTGAGGGCTGCTTGAATTCGAACTAGGTTTCTAAACTTAAACAGGGTATTTCTGACCACAATCTCGGTTTTCTCCCTTGCTTGATCAGGTATTGCTCGCACCTGTTAAGATGATATGCACGAATGAAAGAATATTGAAGTCCTCTTAGTTGAGGCATAGAAAAGAACTAATCCAGGCCTACCCCCTTGGACCACAATGGCTTGAGCAGAGGTCCAGAACAAAGCGCAAACACAACAAATCAACCATTACACCAGGTCTATTGGGCTGGTCTCATACCCAATAGTGGAACGCCTACAGGATTCCCAAATCAGGACGGAAGGAGTTGGAAGACGAGGCCCAACCCCAAGTTCGCTCGCTCCTGTCAACCTGATTCAACTTTCAATTTTGTTCAAAAGATTGAGAGAATCCCCTTCCATGAGCCAAGAAGATCCAATCGGGGCATTGGTGTTGATCCAGCAACCTCCTTACCCCTTGTAGAGCAATCCAATCCGCTCGGAATCACCGAAAGGAGCGTTCGCAGGAAAAAGGACCAACAAGAGCCTTGTCAAATTTGCTGGAAGAAGGGTCACGCTGCTTTGAACTGCTATGACAGAGATGATTTGAACAATGCTAAATTTGCTACAATAACAAGAACCACATTAAATTGAATGTATTTGAAATAACTAAATGTCATACATTTGAAATTGATTTAAAATGACTACATATGAGGAATCATTTGAAATCAATTTATTTTCTTCCTTTCTTTCTTGTCTAGATCTTGGCATACATGAATTACAATAATCCATACAAACAACTTTGCCTTATAATTTTATCTAAATTCATTGTTTTGAAGTTCCTCCATGTAGCCAAATTAAGTTGAGAATAAATATTCGAACACTCTGGTGGTAAACGAGATTGAGAATCAAAAGAATAAACAACACAAATCAATCACTATAGTTTTACGTGGTTTACTCATAATTGAGCTACGTCCACGAGGTTGTTTAGTTCTTTTTGTTCTGGCCCTTTTGGCCTCTATCTCACCAAAAAAAAAAAAAAC